GGGGGGGGCTGGATCAGTGGGCAGGGGTCAGGAGGCTCGTGGCAGAGCCCCCCATGTGACATGGGGCAGTGGGGATCACCCCCCTCCCCCACCTGGCAGCAGCTGGTGATTGGGTCATCTTTTTTTTTTAAAAAGCTGGGAGCTGGGGTTGGGAGAGTGGGTGGGGGATAGGGGCTCATAACAGAGCCCCCCATGCAGTGGAGGGAAGTGGGGATCGCTCCCCCACCTGGCAGCAGCCTGTGAGTGCCGTGCTTTTTTTTTTCAAAGAGCTAGGATGCTGCGGCCAGGCGGAGCAGCCACTGATGGGGCTGTGATGGGGCCGATTCAGAGATTTGGCTGATTTGGTGGTGACTGAATCTCTGAATCAGGTTCAGCTGAATCGATTTGGGACAGTGATTTGGATCACTGAATCGAATCACTGTCCCCTGAATTGGCCGAATCCAAAGTGAATACTAGCCGCTTTGCACAAGCCTACTAATTAGGTGGCTAATCAGTGCTAAAATACATGCCAGTGTATGTCTACTGCTGTTGGCACCTGAGCTGGCTGAATTAAAGCTAGTTCACATATGTGACTGCAACACATGGAAGCATCTAGTTGCAATGTAGACATACCCAAAGTATTCTGGGGCATACTGCAACTATTAACTGATGTGAACCACTTCTACTTATGATTAAATGGGAAACTTGCCCCATATTAACCTTGTCTAAGATGTAATTCTCTGTAGTCAAGCAGAGATTTTTTAACTGATTATCAGCTTAAATGATGCTGATGACAACAATAAGCAAGTTCTGTACAGAATTTTCACTTTGTATAAAAGTCTGACTGCCCCATCCCATCATGATCCATTTATAAAATACTTTTTCTTGAATGGCTCAGGATGCCTTGTAAAACCACATCAAGTACATAGTGGTGGTAATTAAGTTATTTTATGAAGCAGAATAAAGGCCATCACTAACAATTAATCAGACCCTCTTTTGAGCCCTCCCAGTTTCCATTAAAAGAAGCTGTTTCTTGGGAATTGAGCTATAGGTAAGGTAGAAGAATTTGAACTTTTTAGTGGAAAATAATATATAAGCTGTGAACTAAGACACGTCTTATTAAAGTGTATTTCCACTTCATTTTTCCCCTATAGAGACTAGTATGTTATGTACACTATATGTATAGCAAACACAAAATATATTTTAGAAGTTTTGATTACCTGAGACTGCACAGTGCTCACTTCCTGAGTACTCCTTCCAATATTTTTGATATCTTGCTTTTTTCAAGGATCTTTGCTCTAAAGTGACATTTGTGTTATAGTACCTAATTTTAATAGAAGCTACTCAAGATGCAAAAGTAGTGATTCTATCTGTGCCATTAGAAAAGTGCAGTGTTCGAGAAACAAATTAAGGAAGATTTTTATGGAGAATAATAGCTAAAGATGTATTGAGAATATTTGGTTTAGAGCCAATTTAGAAATAGGCTAAAGTTCAAGTTTTTTATTTGATATTTAATTAGAGCTAAAATTTAGGTTCAGATTAGATGGTGTCAACATTTTCAAACTTTTATTATAACATTTCAACTCCAAATGTTGGGACTCTTGCAAAACTTGCTGCTTTTATGAGACTCTTGGGCTTAGCTGATACAGAACAAGAAAATATGATCTGCATGCAAAACTGAAGCAGAGATTTTAGATTGAGGGGTTTGTAATCTGTCCCATTCTTCTGATATTTAGGAGTTCACATTTGAGGTTTCCTCTAGCTTGACACAACTTTTATCAAGATGTATTCTTTTTGTTTTTGAGATATACATGGTGTGTTTAACACCGGCCCAAGTAATTAGGCTGTTTCTGTGCACTGACTGCTATTTTTATATTGGTATGTCCAAAAACATCAACCTGTACTTGAAAGATCAAATAAACATTTGGGGGAGGAGGGGAAGGAGAAATGTTATGTTTATATTCTAAATTTCTAGTTCTCTTTCCTTTTTCAGTTCGAAATCCATATGGACAGATAAAACTTTATTGTAAAGGAGCAGACACTATGTTATTTGAGAGGCTTCATTCCTCCAATGAAGAATTAGCATCTTTGACATCAGACCATCTTGGGGTAAGTGCTTTTTATTTAGACAGTGATCCAGAAAAGTACTTAAAACAGATGCCTAACATTAAGCATGAATTTTACACTTACAGATAAAAGTGTGCTTAAGTGCTGTTACACAAGCCATTGTTCCATCTGCAATTTAGCTCTGCAATGTCTGCTTCTCTCCTAGAGACCCAAGGAAGGTTACAGTACTGTGGTACCTGAAAGCTTATCTAAGTCTATCCCAGCCATGCCGCTGGTGCAATAAAATATATTGCCCACAAAAATTCCTAAATATTGACAGTTTCCTGACTCAGGGCATTGTAGGCTTTATACCCTAAAATGAGCCAAAGTTTCTAAAACTTTGGCCCCTTTGGGCAAGTCCATACATGCAGACACGTGCACTTGCAGCAGCTCAAATGGGAGTGGCACAAATTTGAGCTGGGGATTTTTGCCTCGGGTGCATGTGTGCCCAGACATGCACTTTGGTGTGGGGCAAGTAGTGCGCTTGGGGCAAAATAACACTGCCCAGCTCCTCCTGGATCTGCAGCCAGGGGGAGCTAGAGGCTGAGACCAGCATCTGTCCTGGCTCCAGCAGTATAAAAACCTGCCCTGTGCTGGACCCAGCAATATAAAAAGCTCCTCAGGTGAGTGGCTTGGGGCTACTTGCCCTCAGGAACTTCTGAGACCCGGCCACTTGGTATCTGGGCACACTACCCCTTGTGCCAGCTGGACTGCTGAAGCAGCCCTAACCTAGAGTGGCCCTTGCACTCTCTACCCACTGCAGCAATCTGACAGTGGCCTGCTGCCACCTGCGACAGCATCTGGCCCTTGGACATGCGGCCCCAAGCCTGTGCCCCTGCCAGACCTGGATGGGGTGTCCCCACTCTGCCATCTGGGCAGGTATTGCCTAGAAGATGTGCTCCTTCTGGTGGCCTGCTTTGAACTGTGAAACCATGTCCTCTTGGCCCCAAATGGCCAAGAGGTCAGTCACCTTGTCTGCCCTCTAGCTGGGTCCCGAGTGCTGGGTCTGGACAGGCTCTTTTGCACGGGTCTCACCACTTGTCTCACCAGCAGAGATCTTGGTGATCCCTGTTTATGATTTGTGAATTCTCTGATAAGAAACCCAAATTCTCTCATTAAAATACCCAAAATAGTGTTCTTCCACTATTAAAATGAAATGCCACTATATATAGAGAGGACAATGTTTTATTGATATATTTGGGCAATGTTGG